GCTGATAAAAGAATCTGACAAGGTAGCAGGATACAAGATTAACATACAGAAATCAGTAGCATTTCTTTATACTAACAATGAAATATCAGAATAATAAAGAAGCGACCCCTTTTAAAATCACATCCCAAAAATAAAATACTTAGGAATAAATCTGACCAAGGAGGTAAAAGACTTATATGTGGAGAACTGTAAAACATTGATTAAGAAAATTCAAGATGACTTAAAGAAATGGAAAGCTAGCCCATGCTCTTGAATTGGAAGAATTAATATTGTTAAAATGGCCATACTACCCAAAGCAATCTACAGATTTAAGGCAATCCCTATCAAATTACCCAGAACATTTTAATAGAACTAGAACAAATAATCCTAAAATTTATATGGAATTGCAGAAGATCCAGAATTGCCAAAGCAATACCAAAGAAAAAGAACAAAGCTGGAGGCATAACCCCCACAGACTTCAGACAATACTACAGAGCTACAATAAACAAAACAGTGTGGTATTGGCACAAAAACAGACATATGGATCAAGGAACAGAATAGAGAGCCCAGAAATGAACCTGTAGACTTATGGTCAATTAATCTTTGACAAAGGAGTCAAGAATATACAATGGAGAAAAGACAGTCTCTTCAGCAAGTGATGTTGGGTAAACTGGACAGCCACATGTAAATCAATGAAGTTAGAACACCACTTCACACCATACACAATAATAAACTCAAAATGGCTTAAAGACTTAAATATAAGACAAGACACTATAAACCTCCTAGAAGAAAACATAGGCAGAACATTTTCTGACACAAATCTTAGCAATGTTCTCCTAGGGCAGTCTTCCTAGGCCATAGAAATAAAAGCCAAAATAAACAAATGGGACTTAATCAAACTTATAAGCTTTTGCACATCAAAGGAAACCATAAGCAAAACAAAACAACAACCTATGGAATGGGAGAATATATTTGCAAATGATGAGATTGACAAAGGCTTAATTTCCAGAGTATATAAATGGCTCATACAAATTAATAACAAAATTCAAAAATGGGCAGAAGCAATTCTCCAACGAAGACATGCAAATGGCCAATAGGCACAAGAAAAAATGTTCAGTATTGCTAATTAGCAGAGAAATGCAAGTCAAAACTATAATGAGGTTATCATCTCACATCAGTCAGAATGCTCATTAATAAAAAGTCCACAAACAATAAATGCTGGAGAGGGTGTGGAGAAAAGGGAACCCTCTGACACTGTTGGTGGGAATGCAGTTTAGGGCAGCCATTATGGAAAACAGTATGGAGATTCTTCAAGAAACTAAAAATAGACTTACCATATGATCCAGCAATCCCACTCCTGGGCATGTATCCAGAGGAAACTCTAATTAGAAAAGATACATGCACCCCAATGTTCATAGCAACACTATTCACAATAGCCAAGACATGGAAACAACCTAAATTTCCATTAACATGACAGGATAAAGAAGCTGTGGTACACACACACACACACACTCACACACACACACACAGTGGAATACTACTCAGTATACAAAGAATAAAGTAATGCCATTTGCAGCAACATGGGTGGACCTAGAGATCATCATACTAAGTGAAGTCAGTCAGACAGAGAAAGACAAATATTATATAATATCACTTATAGTGGAATCTAAGAAAAAGACAGAAATGAGTGGAGCTTATTTACAAGACAGAAAGAGACTCACAGATATAGGAATAAAACTTATGGTTATCAAAGGGGAAAAGGAGAGGGGAGGAATAAATTGGGCTTTTGGGATTTGCAGATACAAACTACTATATACAGAATAGCTTAACAACCAAGGTCCTACTGTATGGCACAGGGAACTATACTCATCAGCTTGTAATAGCCTATAATGAAAAATAATATTACATATATTTACACATAACTGAATTATTGTGCTGTACACCAGAAATTAACACAACATTGTAAATCAACTATATGCCAAAAATGTAGACTATCGCCTGACTCCATCAATACCTGCAATCCATTGATTCTACTACCTTTCACTGTCCTTCACCTCCTTCATGACCTTTGCCCCTCCATGTCACACTTGCATTCCATTGTCAATCCTTATAATCACACCCTTTCAAACTCCCTCAATTCCTTTGCCTTCTCTTTGTTTTACTTGCTTTGTCTAAACCAGAAGCTGGTAAAATCTATCTCCCTGCTCACTCCACGACACAGTTAAATGTGGTTGTAGTAAAACATACAATCAGACACATTAATTTATTTTTAAGTTCATAATCATTAAACTCAAGGAGGTCCTTCATACTGTGAGCCCCTCATACTCTACTACCTCGTGATGTTCACTTTCCCACTTTCCTGGGTAACTATTTCCCTTTTCTCCTCTCTCCTAAAACTCCAAACAGCTCTGCTCCATCCTCACTTTCAGCTGAAGGCCAGGTTATCAACTTCCTAAGAAAACTGAAGCTGCCACACGCCTACCCTCATCTAACATTCAGACATTTACTCTTCTTCTTGTTACTATGGATGCACTGTTCATGTTCTTTGCTAAAGCCCAGACTTTGTGCATTCCCTTGTCACTTATTCAAGACAATTACATGCTTAATCCTCCATTTTCTCCTTTCTTTCTCTAGGACCATTCTCATCAACATGGAAACAAGCTGTTACTTTTCTCATCTTAACCCTCTCTTGATTCTACTTTTCCCTCCAACTACTTCCCCATTTATCTGCTCTGTTTTGCAAACAACAACAAAAATTCCTTGAAATATTATTGCAAACTTGATGTCCCCAGATTTAATTCCTTCCCTACTCTCTTAAACCACACCAGTCAGGTTTTAGCCTCTACCACCTCCATGAATAAAAATCTTATCAAGGTCGCAGGTGACCAACATGATGCTAACTCCAAAGTGAGTTCTGAGTGCTCATTTTCTTTGATCTTTCAACAATACTTGCCTTGAAACATTTTGTTTACTTGGTTTCGAAGACCCCATACTTTCCTGGTTTTTCTCCCATTAACACTGGCTGTTTGTTTTGTGTTTTCTTTCCCTGTTCTGCTTCATTTCTTGTCTTAACATTACTTACTTTTTTAGTGACCTCATCCAGTCTCATGTCTTTAAATACCATAAAAAACTGAATACAGAGTCAATAGGTTCAGTATATATATCACACTGGAATTTCAGAAGAGGAGGAAGGAGAGAATGGAGTAGTGATCACATTTGAAGATATCAGGGCTCAAAATTTTCCAGCACTGATAAAAGATAATCATCCCCTCATTCAGAAAATCTAATGATTTCCCAGCGGACAAATAACAAGAATTCAAAATAAAAATTCACATGCAGATGTATACAAATAAAATCACAGGACATCAAAGACGAAGTCAAGATCTTAAAGGTTGGCAGAGAAAAAAAGACTTTAAAAGAAGTGATAATTAGAATAATGGCTGGTTTTTCAACAGCAACAATGAAAGCCATACGTGGATTGAGATTGTCAATGTCCTGATTATGAGTTTTCTACTGCTGTCACAACAAATATATCAGCTTAAAATAACACAAATGTATTACCTCACGGTTCTATGGGTCAGCAGTCCCGGTTGACTCAGCCAGTATCTCTGCTCTGAGTTTTATAAGGTTGAAACCATGCTGTCAGCCAGCTGGCCTCTAATTAGGAGGCCCTGGGAAGAATCCACTTCCGAGCTCATTGAGGTTGTTGATGTAATCTAGTTTCTTGCAGCTGTAGGACTGAAGTTCCTGTTTCCTTACTGGCTGTCAGGTGGGGCTGCCCTCAGATCCCAGAAGCCTCTCTCTGGTCCTTGTGGATGGGCCTCTGTATCTCAAGAGCCAACAAGAGAGTCTCAAATCCTTCTCATGCTTGGAATCTCTCTGTGTTCTCTGCCACATCTCTCTTCTTCCTCTTCTGCTGCATATTTGACTTCAGTAAGTTCTCTGCTTTTAAAGTCTCATGTGGTTAGATTGGACTCACCTGGATACTCCAGGATTCTCTACCGTTTTTAGGATCAATAACCTTAATTGCCCCTGCAAACTCCCTTTTGCCATGTAATGTAACCTATTCACAGGTTCCAGGCATTAGGGTGTGGCTATCTTTGGGGAAGGGACATTATTCTGCCTTGCTGAGAGAAAATAACTACATGGAAATCTTTTTCAAGAATGAAGGGAGGTAGGGAAGTATAGCTCAGTGGTAGAGCACATACTTAGCATGCACAAGGTCCTGGGTTTGATCCCCAGTACCTCTATTAAAAAAATAAAACTAATTACCTTCTGCCCTCACAAAAAAAGATTAAAGGGAGAATAACACTTTTAGAAAAAACAACAACTATGAGATTTGTCATCAAACAATCCTCACTAAAGGAAGTTCTAAAGAATGTGTTTCAAGCAGAAGAAATGTGATCTTAGTGAGACAGGCTGGAACCTGGGACCTGGAATTCTTTGCTGCAATTCTTGCACCTGGACAAACATCTCCTTGAGCAACAGAACACAAAGAAACAATAAGGGCCTAAAAATAATTGTGTACATGCATAGTTGGGGCAAATTATAAACAACAAGATACAAAAAGACCAAAAACCCAACTGCCATTTCTGAGATGTCTGGAAGAGAAGCAGGGGACTGCACAGTGATCCTTGCACACAGCACTGCCAAGGAGTTGGGCCGACCACCTAAGCCACCCTTCTGGCCCGACCCATGGATCCGCCCCTACACTCACCCCATTTAAGGAACCAGCTTGCCTCTCCCCTCAGAGAGTGAGCAAGGCAACCTGTTACTTGTTTTTGCGCCTTCCTGCTGCAGCATGAGTCCCAGTAAAGCCTTGCCAAAACATCTCGTCTGGCCTCTTATCAATTTCTATTGATTAAGGAGTCTAAGAACGCTGGCTGGTAACACTAGAAGAAAGGTCTGTGGGATGAAGGATGAAAGGTGAAGAAAGTGGCAAAATGTGGGTACATCTTAGTGAACATTGTACAAAATGTAAAGTAAGAATGTTTTGTGGATTAAGAAAACTAAAGGGAGGAGGGTGTAGCTCAGCGGTAGAGTGCATGCCTAGAACGCATGAGGTCCTGAGTTCAATCCCCAGTACATCCATAAAAAAAATAAATAAATAAGCCTAATTACCTTCCCCACCAAAACAACAACAAAACCTAAAGTTGAACAAAAATACCTGTCAATATATAAATTGAGTGGAATGAATGTATTATATAGTCTTTATATGTATTCTTTGAATGCAAATAGGTTTTTTTTCTTTTTTTAATGGAGGTACTAGGGATTGAACCCACGACCTCATGCATGATAAGAACCTGCTCTACCACTGAGCTATACCCACCCCGACAAATAGCATTTCTATAAAAGATGTACTTCAGGCAGAAGACCTCTGTACTTTGTCATCAATTATATTTCTTTATCCATATTAAGTTCTGAAGTCAAAGTTATCTTGTACTCTTAGTAAAAGTTATATAAATCTCTTCCTGGAATAATTTTTAAGATAGGAATATTTTGAATAGTCAGTGAAACTAATCAATAAGACCATCTAGTATTCTTTGTGAGAAAAAAATTTTTTTAAAGTACCAGTTCATTTAAGCGTTCTTGGACCATTAACCTTTTTGGTTTCTTTAAGAGTCAGTTTTGGTAAACTGTATTTTTATGTTTCTGGAGGGTTTTGTAATTCATGTTTCAATTATTTATTAGCATAAAGCTGTCAGAATATCTTTATTATCTTTTAAATTCCACCAAATCTGAATTATACCCTATTCTTCATTTCTAGTATTTCTAACTTTTATTTTTTATATCAATCAAATTTACCAGAAGTTTTTAAATTTTATTAGCCTGTTCATAAAACTAATCCATGGTTTTGTGTATTCTCTCAATTTCATGTTTATTTATATTAGGTTAAAATAAAGATCTTTCTAGAATGACACCAAGAATGGAGCAAATTGTTGTATAGGTTCTAAAGTTATCTGTCTATAAAAAGATGGAGTCCAATCCATAGTCTCATGGTGAATATACGGTAGGCCCCTCTGAGTCACAGGAAGAGAGAAATGTCACACATCTGTACATCATTAGTGAAGGGATGAGGTACTCCAATACTAACAGAAGAAGGGATAAAAGAGATATTGGGACCACTTTTCTTTGATGAAACATCACCTGATGTTCTTCAAGGCCCACTCTGATATCTTAAAGGATATATATAAGCATTTCCAGGCACATTTGTATCCTTAAGAGTAGAAGTGAGAAACATCACACTTTTATCAGGTATCACACTGAACCAAAGCCAAAAGCAGCATCTTACCAACTGTTCATCAAAGAGGTATCATCAGAACTCTCATTAAAGTAAGATGTTTTATCAGGTGGCTTAGATATTTCCATAGGGGCAGGAGAAGATCCACATAATGTATGTAGATCATTTCTTAGAGTTTTTTTTCGAATTAAGAGTAGAAGAATGAGATGTCATGGTTTTTTTAAAATTGGTGATACACTAGGGTAAACACCATAAAAAGGAATATTGATTATTCCTCATTAACGAGACTACACCCAGATAAGACTAGATAGGACCTAGATGAAAGGCAGAATTTTTTCTTAAGGCCCCATTGGAATAAAGGAATGCCCATGTCCAGCCTTCATCTTGGGCACATATATTTTAGAGGGAATGTTCAGAGTTGGATCCACCTTCAGTGAGAGACACCATGGTCATTTACAGGGAGTGTGCTAAAGAAGGAAGGTGGATAATGGTCATCCAGGAAGCACTGAAATAGACAATGGCAGCTGTGGATTCATATACTCCAGAATGTTCTTTAGAAAGTAGTGAAAGAGTTCCACTTTCTCCAGATCAGTTTTTGACCCACATTTTAAGTTACGATTTGAAGGAACATGTCAGCATTGTGTTCATCTTTGGTCAGAGAATGGGATTCAATGGATGGATGACATGATGTGACCTCAAAAAGCCACTTGGAACATTACTCAAGATTTGAATGTCAAGGACACATCAGAACAGAAACTTTACCAGATGTCTTAGGATCAATGGGATTCAACGGATGGATGACATGATGTGACCTCAAAAAGCCACTTGGAACATTACTCAAGATTTGAATGTCAAGGACACATCAGAACAGAAACTTTACCAGATGTCTTAGGATCAGAACTGGGCTTCAGAGGAGTCTTTTAGAAATTTTCAGGTCATTTATTGTTACAGATTTTTAATTAAGCAGAGACTTCCTGGTGATGTCCCTCTTCTGTGAGGAATGAAACATTAAGATTTACAGGGAGTGAGTTAAGAAAGGCAAGTAGAATGTCTCTTAAATGGGTTGAACTGGGGGCCAGAAAAAAGATCAATATTTTCCCCATGTATGTTGGTTGATATTTCAGACTCTGTAAAATCCCATGTTGGGTTACAAATTATCTCAATATGCCTATCCTATTAGATAAATGTGCACTACTACAGTTGTATCTGATATTAGTGAGCAGTGAGTTGCTCCAGCACACACACAAATAGGCAGTTTGAACATCGTTCATCATGGAGCAAAAAAGTCTTGGAAGACTGGCATGTTTTCTTGCATATAATCCAGAAGTCCCAACGGTAACAACCAATCTATTTTCCCAACTACTTCATGTAATTTTTCAAGGAAGGTTAGAATAGAAAGATTTCATGATTGACCAAGTTACCTGGTTGTTTAGGCTCTGTGTGTTGTTTCAGTCACTCCATCACAGCATTTTTAGAACAGTCCTATAACTTCAACCTAATCCTTCTGAACAGTGGTCATGGAAGTCAAAATATATCTGATTATATGGACAGCATACACATTGTGGCAGTTTTTCTTATAGCTTTAGTTTTTTTGAAAAAAAATGCTGTTTGGAAGTAAGAATTACTTTAAATACCTACATTACCAAATTCAAATTGATACAGAAAGTGTAACATCTGTTATTCATCAAGAAATACAGGGTAATCTGCAATTTTTACATGTTTGCATTCATTTGAATCTGAATTCCTTGTGATAAAATATCCTAATTAACTAGTAGTCACTGCTTATGAAACAATGATACTCTACTCAGTATGTCAACAATTTTGTCTTCAAAGGTATAGATATTTCATTAGCAGTTATTATTCTATCAATACTGTAACACTTTTTCCCTTCCAGGTGCTCAAACATTCAGAATACTCAGTTATCCTTTTGGAATGGGTACTTTGATTAAATCTTTACCTATTACATATTAAAGTAGCCTATTGAATATTCAATTAGCCACAATTATAAGGCTTCATGGATTTTTCTACATGTTCTGAGCCTTCATTTGAGGCACTGATGTCTATTTTTCTCATCTGCAATCAAATGGCAAAATTCTCCCAACCATTTTTAGGCACTTAACAGTTTCAACTTCTTCATTCTCTGGAGGCCTTTTTCTTCCTCAGCTGTGATATGGTGTTTCTATTTTCCACTGATAGTCAGTTGGAATTCCTGGTGTCCTTTGGATTTTGTTTCTTTTTCGTCAAAGGCTTTCATGGAAATTTCTTCAACAGCAGTTGGTAAAGAAGAACCTACTGTGCAAAGAAGATGGTTTGCAATGGTTAAAACAGGTCTTCTTTTAAACAGCATCCCACATGACATCTTCTTGTGTTTCTTTTACGTCTTCATTGTTCAGACATGTCATTATAATCAGCTTTATCAAAATACTAAAACAAGAGGAGAGTGTAACAAATGAGATAAAGAATACCACAAACCCAAATTGCACATACAAAAACCAAATTCATTTTGTTCTGAATCACATCATTTTCCTATGTCTTTTCTATTTCTCCAGCTTGGTCCCTAGCTTGGTTACTAAAAAAATGCTTTTGTTTTAAAAATGAAAATGGACATAATCATCAGTTTGAGGCCTCACCAGTAGTCTGCTCCTTCAAAAACTCCAAATAGATCCAGAGACCAACAATGAGAATGCATATGTATTAATAACACTAATGACAATATTTCTATCAGTGTGGATATGGCATGAACCCAGTCATATCATGCTGCCATGTACAGAATGGTCAGTGAAGCCATCTGGATTTTATAAGACACATCAGTCTGAGAACTGAGCTTTACAGTATCTGCCAATGCACAGCCACATTTCTCCCCTGTGTTTGGAGACTCTTAAAAAATGACCCCCCAAAGTCTTTATTGTTTAGCCCCAAGGGAGTCATCAGTGGAAATCTATAAAACAATTAAAAATGATGGAATTCCAACTGTTCAGAAAAATGAATAAATCTTGAGTGAAAAAGGAAAGATACAAAGCTCATGTATCCATTTGTATGAAGTTCAAAAAATGCATAACTGAATGCTATGTTGTTTACAGATCCAACAATATGTGGTAAAATATAAAGAAAAACAAGGAAATAATAAATCCAAAAATCAAGAGGACAGTTACCTCTGAGGGGGCCAGAAAGGGGTTGGCATCTGAGAAGGGCACACAGGGCACAAATACTAATCATGTTCTTTTTCTTACATTTGTTGATGAGTACAAAGGTGTGTGCTCTCTGCTTACATGTTGTGGCAGACACATTTCATCTGTTTCCTCCAGTCTCTACCTCCTCGAAGTTAGGCAAGGCCATGCGATGTCCAAGCCAATGAGCGGTAGGCAGAACTGGTGTGTGTGTGTCTGTGACTGATTTGTGTGTGTGTGTGTGTATGTGTGTGATTTTTTGGACCAAAGCATGAAAAAGTTGGTGCATGATTTCCAGCCGATTTTTTCCTTTCCATGGCTTCATGTTGAAATGAAGGGGCCACAGGATCCAAGCAGCCTGAATCGGTGAATTTCGTTATTCTGAAGAGTTATCATGGGTATCTGTCTGGATTAGCAGTGGATTTTGCAGAATAAGAAATCCATGTTTGTTATGTTAAGCCACTGGCATTTCAGGCCTGTTTGTCACTGCAGTATAACCTGGACTATGTAGACTAATATACATGCTTTTACAAAAGTTCTTTTGTGTTTACTTTATATTTAATAAAGTCAGATTAGAAGGCCCACATTCAACATTTCATACAATGCAAACAAGTAAAGAAAAAGTGCCACTCAAGACTTGGGTATAAATCAGTCATAACAATTTCCAAATTCTTTCAGGTTTG